ATTAAAAATCACCCTTTATTATTTATGAATTTAGGTATTTTTAATTACATTTTATTGATTATGCTATTACAGTTGTCCCATTTTTTCCCATTGCCCCCCCAGCACCCCACACTCTCTCACATAATCTCCACACCATTGTTCATGTCCATGGGTCATACGTGTAAGTTCTTCAGCTACTCCGTTCCTGATACTGTACCTTACATCCCATGGCTATCTTTAACTATCTGTTTGTACTTCTTAACCCCCTCACCTCTTCACCCAGTCTCCTATACCACACTCCCATCTGGCAACCATCAAAATGTTCTCCATGTCCATGATTCTGTCTCTATTCTTTTCTTTTATTTTTTTTAGGTTTTAGAGAGAAGGGAAGGGAGGGAGAAAGCGAGGGAGAGAAACATCAATGTGTGGTTGCCTCTTACGCACATTGTACTGGCGACCTGGCCTGCAACCCAGGCATGTTGCCTGACTGGGAATTGAGCCAGCGACCCTTTGGTTTGCAGGCCAACACTCAATCCACTGAGCCACACCAGCCAGGGCTCTATTCTTCTTATTTGCTTAGTTTGTTTTCAGATTCAGTTGTTCATAGATATGTTTATTGCCATTTTATTGTTCATAGTTTTGATCTTCTTTTTCCGAAATAAGTCTCTTTAACATTTCATATAGTAATGGTTTGGTGATGAACTCCTTTACTTTGTTCTTGTCTGGGAAGCTCTTTATCTGACCTTTGATTCTAAATGATTGCTTTTCTGGGTAAAGCAATCTTGGCTGTAGGTCCTTGCTTTTCATGAGTTTGAATATTTCTTGCCAATCCCTTCTGGCCTGCAAAGTTTATTTTGAGAAGTCAGCTGAGAGTCTTACGGAAACTCCCTTGTAGGTAATTAACTGCTTTTCTCTTGCTGTTTTTAGGGTTCTCTTTATATTTAACCTTTGGCATTTTAATTTTGATGTGTCATGGAGTGGGTCTCTTTGCATCCATCTTGTTTGGGACTCTCTGTGCTTTCTGGACTTGCAAATCTATTTACTTCACCAAATTGGGGAAGTTTTTTTTCATTATTTTTTAAAATAGATTTCCAGGGTTTTGCTCTTTCTTTTCTCCTCCTGGCACCACTATGATATGAATGTTGGAATGCTTGAAATTGTTCCACAGGCTGCTTACATGGCGGGGGGCAAGGGGGTGATTGTTTTTTCTTCTTGTTCTAATTGGTTTTCTTTTGATTCTTTATATTTCAAATCATCTATTTGATTCACAGCTCCATCCACTCTACTGTTGTTTCCCTGTAAATTGTTCTTTATTTCAATTACTGTATTCTTCATTTCTGACCAGATTTTTTTTATGCTATTGAGGTCCACACTAAGTTCCTTGAGCATCCTTATAACCAGGATTTTGAACTCAACTTCTGATAGATTGCTTATCTCCGTTTTGTGTTGTTCTTTTTCTGGAGCTTTGATCTGTCCTTTCATTTGGGCCATGCTTCTTTTTCTCCTCATTTTGGCAGCCTCCCTGTGTCTATGTATAAGGTAGAGCTGCCATCACTCCCTGTCTTGGTAGTGTGGCCTAATGTAGTAGGTGTCCTGTAGGGTCCAGTGGCATAGCCTCCCCTGTCACCCAAGCTGGGTACTCAAGTTGCACCCTTCATGTGGGCTGAGTATCCACTCCTCTTGTAGTTGAGCCTTGATTGCTGTTGGCAGATCCACGGGAGGGATTTTAGGCCAGTCAGCTGTAAGGACTGGCTATGACCACTGACCACCACGTGTGGGTTCTTTAAGAGGAACTGCTTGGGACTCCAGAGGTTTCTTCCACCAATTCAATCTCCAATGGTTTTTGCAGCCAAGAGTTATGGGGACTTATCTTCCTGTCACTGGAACCTGGGCTGGGGGCACCTGATGTGGGGCTAGGACTCCTAGCTCTTGAGATATCCCTCCCGAATTTTTATCTACATGTGGGTGTAGGACCATTCCATTCCACATCTCCCCTCCTAGAAGTCTGGATGGATGTGGTTTCTTTAATTCCATAGTTGTTGGACTTCCATTCAACTCAATTTCTGGGTGATGGTTGTTCTGTTGTTGAGTTATAATTTTGGTGTGGTTGTGTGAGGGGGCACCTATGGTGCCATCTTGACCTGAAGTCTCTTGAATGGAGGTATTTTAATGTCACATTTCCTTGGACTAATGCATAGCTCAGTTTATTCATTATAATACAATATTGGACTGGATCCTTCCTCTCTGCAACCAGTCTACAAGGGGTGACCAAAAAAACCCTGGAATTATCTTCTGGGTGTTGGTCCCTTGTTGTACAGGCTTCCCCTGTTAGATTAGTGTTTAGGAACCCACTGTTATCAGTGTACAGCTGGCATTGTTGTGAGAGGCTGTGTTCAGGTTCAGTGAATTTTTTTTTGAGGACTCTTTCAACACATTTGCCCACTTCATGATGGGTGATTTACAAGTGCACCTGCCCACACTGCACTGCATGTTCAGGAGTTTCTGTAAAAAAGATTTTATTTATTTATTTTTAGAGAGGGGAAGGAAGGAAGAAAGAGAGGGAGAGAAACATCACCTGGTCCACAACCCAGACATGTGCCCTGACTGGAATTAAACCAGCAACCCTTTGGTTCACAGACTGGTGCTCAATCCACTGAGCCACACCAGCCAGGGTGATGTTCAGCAGTTGTTGACCAAAAACAGCATGACTCACATACTCCCTATTCACCTGATCTTTCCCCAAGTGACTTTTTTTTTTTTGTTTCCCTGGATGAAAAAGTCTTCAAGGGGAAACTGTGGGGGTGCTCTGCCTGCAGGGTCCCCCTGGCTGTCACAGATGAGAATAAGTCTACCAAGACATGATCTGCTTGGGGAGGAAAGGTGGCTGATATCTCAAAGGAGAAGGGCCAAGAGTCTTTTCCTCAATGGGTTTTTATTAGGTTCCTCTTGCACTGGAATACATGTAAAGCTCATTAATCATTGTCAGGCAGTAAGGATCAAACAATAGATAGCATACAAAGAACTCTGAGGGCCTGTTTTGAGTTAGGGTCAGGTAGCTAAAGAGCATAAAATGTTGAGGAACAAACTCATTCCCTGCTCAGACCCTTATTATGTAATTGAGAGTATTCTTAGCAAAGCAGGTTTCACAGGATTTTATGTATTCTTTCTTAGGCCTGATCACTCCAGGGAATCTGCCCTTTCCAGCACAGGATGACACCCACCACCAGCATTGTTTCAGGCTTAAGGCATTGTTTCAGGCTTAAGTCAGGCAGGGGAAGTAAGGCAGTCAAGAGATTAGGAGACTTCTTGCAGACAGAATGAGGACTCAGGCTATGTCAAAGCCGAGGGGCGAGGGTCCATCACCCCTTTTTGCTATAGCCCCCCAAGTCCTTCCCTGGGGCCTCTCCATGATCATGCCTGTCTTAGGTTGTTCCTCCTTGGGGAATCTTACCTGTCACTGGCTAACCGATCAAGCATTGGGGGCTAGGCAGGGTGAAGTAAAAGGAAGAGAAGCAGCGCCCCTGCCAGGGAGATAAGCTTTGTCTCCTTAGTGGCTTATGGTCCCAAGGTCACTCACTTAGCCTTAGCCATGGGGGGGTTATAGCTTCTGAAACCAGGCAGGGTGGTTCCCAATAGGAAGCGTTTTGCTGATGTGGAAGAGGTGAAACAAAAATGGCAGAAGCACTAAAAGGTGTCAGAATTAATGAGCTCTAAAACTTATTTTGAGCAGTGGAAAAAACATCTCAATGGGTGTGTTGCATCAAATAGAGAGTACTCAAAGGTGACTGAATTTTAACATGTAAGAATACACAATTTTTTAAAATATATTCCAGTTTTTTGTATTCCCCCTCATGTAAATGTTTTGCTACAACTCCTATACAGAGCAATTTAAAAGTGTTTATTATCTCAGTATACATACAATATATTAACCCACAAAAAAAATTTTTTTTTGACAAATAGCCTGTGCATGGCCCAGTGAACGTTTCCTAATGCACCAGATACATATTGTGCCCTTTGGAGATATGACCTGTATATGAATTGGAATAATATAGCTCAGAAAACCATAAATGAGAATCAGACACACCTGGCTTTGAATTGCAGCACGATCATATACAAGCTGTGTGACCTTCAGAAAGTCAAAATTCTCTTTGAGCCTCAGTTTCCTCATTAATTGCTTTGTGTGTTAGACTCTGTGCTAACACTGGTATGAGAGCTGTGAATAAAAATAAAGTTTCTTGCCTTGGTGGAGCTTCTATTTATTATTTGTTCTAATTAGCTATAATGTTGTTTTAATGGTCACATTTTATGTCCTTGTACTTCTTTGGTTGAAATAATGCTAACAGCCTTGGCTGGTGTGGCTTAGTGGTTTGAGCGCGAGTTGCAAACCAAAGGGTCACTGGTTTCATTCCACATCAGGGCACATGCCTGGGTTTCAGGCCAGGTCCCCAGTAGTGGGTGAACAAGAGGCAACCACACATTGATGTGTCTTTCCCTCGCTTTCTCCCTCCCTTCCACTCTCTCTAAAAATAGATAAAATAAAATATTTTTTAAAATAACGCTAACATACTTTTGTGTCCATACCTATGGTTTTAATGGTCATTTAATATAACATGCATTTAGATTTGTTTTTGAAAAATCTAAACTTGAAATGTTAAAAATTTAATGAACTATAATATATTGGAACATTAACTAAAATAGTGTTTGTTTACCTCAATCATTTGAGGGCCATGTATCCTTGAGAGTATTGTAACAATTATATAAATGTTGCATTTTCAGCTTTTTGCTATAATCTTTTGCTGATTGTTGTTTTTACATTATCTCTTATATTATAAGATATTGTTAACATTTAAGTCTATGAATTGGAATTCCCAAGATACTTATTTAAAAATGCTGTAATAGAAATTTCTGTGCTTCATAGATTTATAGAACTCAAGGAGATTCTTTTTGTAATGCATGTTCTTGAAGCAGTATGTCCCTACGGGTACTAATAGACACTTTCCCCTCTCAATTTCTCATTTTAGGGGCACTAAAACCAACAATGGCATTCATGTCAGGAAAATTGAAGATTAAAGGAAACATGGTGCTAGCCATCAAATTGGAGAAGTTAATGAGTCAGATGCATGCCAAGCTGTGAAGGAAAAGAAAAAATATGTCGGTCTCTAAGCTCAAAAAGTAAAAGGGCTCAACAGTTAAAATCTAATGTTTGTTTTATTCTCTATTGTGTGATACAGATATGCAATTTTACTCTGGAAAAAAGAGAATTTATGTATTTGTAAGACTTGAAATTATAATTACAGCAGCTAGCTAATCAAACATAAGCTTCATTAAGTAAAATTCAAAGACATTCTGCTTTTTATGTTTTGTGAGTTTTGCCCTCTGAGCGCTATAAACCATTTGCCTTATTCTTCTGGGAAAAGTATTATGAGCAACCAATCAGGGTCACACAGTGAAGTAACATTAGCTCTTTTCAAATCTTCTTCCCATGTAAAATATGGTTAGTTCCAAACTTTTTAATTTGGAGTTGTACACCAATGAAAAATCTTAATGATATTTTGAATCTTTATATACTTTAAATAAGATAGTCTGCAATAAGTTTTCCTAGGAATCACATCATAAACTACTTATAAATACTATTTTGTAGACTAATGAAACATAAACAGCTTTTCATTTTGTTAACTAGCTTTCCTGTAAATTATCTACAGGAAAATATTAATATAACTCAACTAATCTGTATGCTATTTTAAATTATGCAAAAATGTCTTAAAATAAAATAATTTCTCCCCAGAAGTACGTGCTTGGTAACAATGCTTTGAAGTGAGAGCATTAGAATAGATGGTTGTTAAAGGATTAATTGTCTGCTCCCCAATTTTTATATTGACATCCTAACTCTTAGTACCTCAGGAAGTGACTGTATCTGGAGATAAAGCCTTTAAAAGAGGTGATTAAATTAAAAGGAGGCTTTTAGGGTGGTCCTGAAACCAATCTGACTGATGCCTTTATAAGAAGAGGAAATTTGGGCACAAAAGAGAGACCAGGGATGTCCACACTGAGGAAAGACCATGTGAGGACACGAGAAGATGGACATCTGCAAGTCAAGGAGAGAGGCCACAGAGGAAACCAGATCTACTGACACCTTGATCTCAGACTTCTCCAGAACTGAAAGAAATTTTTGTTGGTTTAGCCACCCCATCTGTGGTATTTTGTTCTGGCAGCCCTAGCAGACTCATACAATAGTTTGTTTGTTTGTCTTTTTTTAAAAAGCGAAACTTAAAAAAAAATCCCTTTCATTTTAATTAGTTAAAAATACTTGCTGAGTAAAATACTTTTACTTTCTCATACTTACTCATATTATTGTGCTATTAAGCTAATTGACTAATTCCTACATTTTATATAGAATCATAATGTCAGGGGATTTAGTATGTATTTTATACATGAGGAAACAGAGGGTCAGAGATGGGAAAGGACTAGCCCAAGGCCAAAATTAGCAAGCCCTAGCCAACAAAAACTTCCCAGTACATTGGCCTTGAATAGAACTTGAAGGCCCCACCTTCTACTCCTTGAAGCCCAGGTGGAGTGACTGTGAGTGGTAGTCTTACAACACCCTTGGCATCTCCCAGTCATTTCTAATTACATAAGGATCCTGCTCACAAAGAGATGTTGTCAGCTGCCTCCTTTTCTACTGAAGTTGTCTAAAAACTTCTTCCCTTTTCTGTACTCTCCATATGGTCACAAAGCTTTGGGAACATAAAAAGTAGGAAATATTGTGGGGGCAGGAATTCTGGTTTCTGGTCACTAAACCACATGAACTTGCTAATGAAAAGTCTTTAGGATATTGAAACTTCACAAGAGCCTCGGTTTTCACATTACTAATTGAGGGAGTTGGATGAGGTTATCTGCAGCCCCTTTGCACTCATTACTAGGAAATACTGTGCAATCTGCACTCTTCTGTCAGAAGTGAAGGTAGTCAAATCCACATTCCTGAAGTAATCTACATTTCTTCAGTAAATGTCTCTTTTTCACATTACATGGCTGGCTACCTTCTGGGCGGACTTCGTACATGGGAGCATTCATACGTGAGTAACTCAAGGGGATGGTTAGAACTTGAGCTGATATAACATCTTAACAAAAGAGTAATTTTTTTAGAGAAGTAACACCAAGAAAAAGGACTTTGAGTTTCTAGTATGGCAAATTGTGCAAAGGAAAATACGGGGATTGTATAGTAAGAATATGTTCAGTTTTGTAAGAAACTGCCAAACTGTCTTCCAAAGTGGCCATACCATTTTGCAGTCCTACCACCAATGAATGAGAGCTCCTGTTGCTCCACATTCTCATCAGCATTTGGTTGTCAGTGTTGTGGTTTTGGCCACACTGAGAAGTGTGTAGTGGTGTCTGTCTCGTTGTTTTAATTGCAGCTCCCTAATGACATATGATGTTGAACATCTTCTCATGTGCTTACTGCCTCTCTCTCTTATTTGGTAAAGTATCTGTTTAGGTTTTTGGCCCATTTTTAAATCAGGTTGTTCACTTTTTGTGTTGTGTTTTAAGGGTTCTTTATATATTTTGGAAAACAGTCTTTTGTCAAATACATGTCTTTTGCAAATATTTTCTCCCAGTCTGTGACTTGTTTTCTCATTCTTTTGACGCTGTCTTTCATAGAGCAGAAGGTTTTCGTTGTATTGAAGTCCAGCTTATCAATCATTTCTTTCATGAGTCATGCCTTGTATTTTGTCTAAGAAGTCATTGCCATACCCAAGGTCATCTAGGTTTTATCCTATGTTATTTTCTAGGAGTTTTATAGTTTTTCATTTTACATTTAAATCTGTGATCCATTTTCAGTAAATTAACTTTTGTGAAAGGAGTAAAGGCTTGGCTTACATTGATTTTTTTCCCATGTGGCTATCTATTTGTTCCCATACCATTTATTGAAAAGACTATCTTTGCTCCTGTTTCAAAGAGTCAGTTGACTATATTTATGCCCATCTCTTTCTGGGCTCTCTCTTCTGTCCCGTTGATTTATTGTTTATTCTTTAACCAAGGAACACTACTTGATTACTATGGCTGTACATTAAGTCTTGAAGTTGGTCTTCCAACTTTGTTCTTCTCCTTCAATATTGAATTAGTTATTCTGGGTCTTTTGCCTCTTCATATAAACTTCAGAACCATTTTGTTGATATGCTCAAAATAACTTGCTGGGTTGTTTTTTTTAAAATCCTTACTCAAGGACATGTTTGATTTTAGAGAGAGGGAAAGAGGGAGAAAGAGACAGACAGACACATGGATGTGAGAGAGAAACATTGATCAGTTGCCTTCCATACATGCCCCTACTAGGGACAGAACCCGCAACCTAGGAAGGTGCCCTGGCCAGGGATTGAACCCACAACCTTTGATGTACGAGATGACACTCTAACCACGTGAACCATCTGGCCAGGGCAACTTGATAGAATTTTGATTGGCATTACATTGAATCTGTATTGTAGTTTTGGACAAATATATGTCTTGATGATATTGTCTCTCTATCCATTAACATGAAATATCTTTTTATTTATTAAGTAGTTCTTTGATATCTTATATTAGAGTTGTGTAGGTTTCCTTGTATAGATCTTGTACATATAATGTTAGATTTGCACCTAAGTATTTCATTTTGGGAGTGTTAGTATAAGTGGTAATGTGTTTTAAATTTAAACTTTCATTTGTTCACAACTGGTGTATAGCAAAGTGATTGACTTTTGTATTTTAACCTTGTATCTTAAACTTTACTATAATCATTCATTAATTCCAGGATTTTTTTTTTGTAATTTGTTTCAGATTTTCTACAAAGACAATTATGTCATCTATGAACAGTTTTATTTTTTCCTTCCGAATCTTAACTTTTATTTTTCTTGTGTTATGGCATTGGCTAGGACTAACAGTATGATGTTGAAAAGCAGTAGTGAGAGTTGATATCCTTGATCGTGATCTTGGTGGAAAATCTTCAAGGTTCATTTATATTTTAGCAGGTGACCGAATTTCTTAAGGCTGAACAATATTCTATTGTATGTACATGCCACCTTTTGTTTATCCATTAATGGCCATTTGAGCTACTTCTACCTCTTGGCTATTGTAAATAATGCTGCAGTGAATGTAAGTAGGTAAATGGCTCAAGCTCCTGTTTTAAATTCTTTTGGTTCCAGTTTCTCCACAGGATTACATATTTGAAATATATAGCAATTAACTGTTTTGCTTTATTTTTTTTTTGTACAGACATCATTTTGTCAAAAATGTTTGCACAGATTTTATATTCAGCCTAGACCAGGAGGAATGTTGGTAGAGCCAGGTATTAAGAATCCTTTTTCCTTTGTTCAGAAGTTAAGTATTTGTCTGCCTCAGTCCTATCTTGTCTCTGCTACCTTAAGAGTATAAGTGACTGAGGTTTCCCTGTTACATTTGGGATGAGGTCAAGATGTGAGCCCCACCCACATACAACTAATCAGATATGCTCCAAGTGTCATTATTATCATAACTATTTTGGAGATGCTCACTTCTGTAAGTAGAAGGTTAAAAGACTGGACACTGCAGCCAGACTGCCTGGGCTGAATCTGGGTTCCTCCTGCTGCGATGTGAACTTGGGCAGATTTCAAAGTTTCTCTATGCCTCAGTTTCCCCATCTATAAAATAGCAATGCTCACACCAACTTCATAGAGTTTTTCGGATTAAATAAATTAATGTTGGCTAAGCACTTAGTGTGAATTCCGGGCATTCAGCAAATGCTCTGAAAGTGTTTGCTACGTAAAATAAGGGTGGAGGGTGCCTGGTAGTACCTAGCATGTCCAACTGCTACTACTGTTGTGACGAGCAGTATAGGTGGTATTTATTGTATGATTCCTCAATCTTCGTGCGTTTTAGGTGCTTTTAGCGGCCCCGCCCCTTCCGTGGGAAGGATGCGTGTGTTGCAGTTGGATTAGAAAATTCCTCGGGGCAGCGGTCAATGTGGGGTGTACGTCTGTTGGTCAGAGTGTTCTTGCACAAGCCTGTGTGTAAAGACAATTATTGAGTGCGTAAAAGAGGTGACACACACACCTGCCATCCACGGAGCGTGGTCTCGTAAAGAGGTCTGCTCCCAGGTTTTAGGTGGAGCTGTAAGGAGCTCCGAGTGGCAGCCGGGACCCCGGGCGTGATGCAAGAGGGGGTGCGCCCACCTCAGAACGAGCCCAGGGATCGTGGGTTGCACACCGTTCAGGGTGCTCAGGGTGCGGAGACCAAGCTCGTGGGCACGTGTGTGTAGTAGGGTGTGTGTAGTAGGAGGAGGGTCGAGCCACACGTCCTCGGGGCAGTGACTGTGGCCAGCTCGGTGCGCCGTCGTAGGAGTGGCGCTTACACACTTCCTGTGGGTCTCGCGGACCACGGAGCGTTTCCGGTGCCCGCTGAAGCCCGGGTCCGAGCCCCCGCCCGCTCGCTGGCCCCGCCCCACCCTCGCCCCGCCCCCAGCCCTCCCGCCGCGCACCGAGCCGGGTGTGAGGAGCCGGGGCGCACGGATCGGTGCGCGCCGGTCGGCGGAGCTAGGCTGGCGCCCCCGCATCCTGCACCCCACTCCGCGACGTGGTCCGCTGCCCGCCCAGCGCCTTCCCGCTCTCTCTGCCGTCGCTGCCCGGCTCTCTGGCCGCTCTCCCTCCCTCCCCTTCTGTTCTGCCCAGTCCTGCCCGGGTTGCCCGGCTCCAGCAGGCCCCCCCACGGCCCGCGTTCCTATGGACAGACGCACAGACACCTGCAGGTGAGTAAGAGCCCGAGTGCAGCACAGGGGCGAGCGCGGACGCGCCAACCGTGGCCTGGGAGTCCCTTTGTGTAGGGGGCGGCCACGCTGGGGTCTTGTCTGCATCCCCCTCAGCAGCCGCGCTGTGACCCGGCTGAACCCTCCTTTTGTCTCCTCTGGGCCGGGGGGAGGGTGGGAAGGCCGAGAGTCGGGGCTGAGAGCCGGACGTCGGCGGCCACGGGCTTGGGGGCGTGACTGGCGGAGACCCCGCGCGGCGCGGGAGCTCCCGGAGCGAGTCTCCGCGGCCACTGCTCGGTCCGCCTGCCGGGGGCCGCCTGCTGCCCAGCATCTCCTGTCGGCGGTGGCAGTGGGCGTGCTGCGAGGGTACAGCTCGCCTGCCCCTGCTTTTGGGTTTGTTTGAGGGAAAGAGGGCGGGAAGGAAAGAAAAGATCTACCCTCTTAGTTTCCAAGTGTTGAGCTGGTGTGGGGGAGAGGTGGTTCGGGCTTTGCCCGACTCGTGTGTCTCGCGGGAGGCACGCGGAGGTGCGTTTGGGGCGTGTGTGAAGGAACGTGCAGCGCTTCGGTCCCTTATTTATTGTTTCTAACGGAGGAGGGCTTTCTCCGAAAGACTCTCCCCCGCCCCCCATCTGAGGCTGCGCACAGTGATTTGTGTTTGTTATCAAATACATCCAGAAATGTATTTCCCTGGGTGGAAGGAGGTTGGGCTGGCGAGAGTCAAACCAAAATCAAAGAATGGTTGTGGGATTTCGGGTGACTTTCTTTTCGTTTTTTCTTTCCTTTCCTTTCCTTTTCTTTCTTGTTAAGATAGGGACTTAAAGGCGAGAAATAAAAGACAAACATGGCTGTGATTTTTATAGTTTTTTATATGTGTATATTTTAAAGTTTTGGGGTAAAGTTTTGTTATTTCCCAGACTCCTTATGATTAACATGATAGAATCTTATACCTATTTAAACAGTTAACAAGTGAGTCAGGTAGTGACAGCTTCCACGGTGGGTAATTTAGACTGCAGTGAACAATTACCTAGCTTTCCGTTTAGGCTGAAACCTTTCTTTTTTGCTTACTCGGGATAGATCTTTCACAGTGTGATATCCCGCCCCCATGGTTGTGTTTTCCCTATTTTATTATATGTACTTAAGAGTACTCTGTACATAACCCAACGATTGGGTTGCATATTTAGTGGATACAACGTTTTGAGAAGTATCGTGATATTTCTGATTTATATTTTTTTCTGGCTACATTTCTTACAAACAGTTGCTATGTATTTCAGATACTCAAATAATAAATGAAGTTGAATAAGCACCCAGAAAATTAATTTTACAGATTCAGATTTTTAATGCAGGTATAGATTTATATCTTTTTATTAATTTCAGTCTGCTGCACACTTCTGGATACTTTTTATTTATTTTTGCCTAAAATCCATATCGACAAACTTAAATATCACAGTTACCAAAAATAGTATAAAAAACTGTTTTGGGGGCACTCAGTTACATGTACGGCTGTATGTAGAAAATAGAGGCTTTGTTAAAAAATAAAAACAATATCTAAACTTGAAGGAAAAACATGGTGGAAAAATATTTGTTTAGATTTTCATCATGTAGAAATTCATCAGAAAACATTATACAATTTAAGCAGTTTTAATTAGACAGACTGAGTTTTGTCATTTAAAAAAGAAAACAGGTATACCTAAAAGCATTTTCTGGAAGAAAAACTTATCCTGGATTCTTGCTTTAGTTGCATTAACTGATCAATATCATTGCATGCCGAATATTGTAAATGCCTGGAGTGTACATTTTTGTACCCTTAAAACCTTGGAGAGGGAACATCTAGCAACGATCTTGCCAGCCCCTTTGAGTTGATCAAATTTTATTAGTTCCTAATGGAACTATTTTAGCAGGAACTAATAAAATAAGAGATGATCTAGACTATCTCTTCCAGTCTAGGTTAGATAAGTGAATTTAAACTCTGCACAAAGGCATGGAGCTCTGTACCAGCTGCTGGTAGGCCCTTGAGCAAGGTTCCTCTTTCTTTTCCATTAAGGATGGATGGCCCAGAGAGGGTGGGTATTGCAATTTGTTCAGGCTTGATCCTGAACGGGGCGTTGGAGTTCTAAGATCCTCCCAGAGTTGCAGCTCTTATACACTCTTCATCAGCTCTTAGAAGTATTAAAAAAGATAAGTGAACAAATCGAGTTGCTTGTTTATGTATTTATTTACAAGAACGAGAGTCTTAGTGATAAGGGTAACAAAGAGTCACTGTGTAAACTGAACAGTAAGAGAGTGTGGACTGTGTTGAGAACTGCTTGGCAAAGTTGTAGTTGTGCTTAACAGTTTTCTGGGATTGGCAGTACAACTGGCTGCTTTTTGTTGTTTGGGTTTTTGACTGTGTTGTGTAGATACTACTTTTGGGGGTTTTGTATAATAATATTTTGCTGTAATCAGAGGCATGCCAGAGAATCTTACATGTTTTCAACTGATTTTCCTTTTGGTATGTTGTTGTTTAGGAAGGCATATAAATTCTTTTTCACTTTTCATGGTTGACATTTCTTACTGCTACTTTGGAGTTTTTAATTTGTATAAAGTTGGATTTTAAATATAGGTGAGCAGTATATGACACCAGATTCTTTTTTTTTAAACAACATTAAGCTATCCACAGTCAAATACGATAGGCTTAAAAATCCGTGGGCTTTTCTACCCTTTTCCTGTTTGTTAATTTTCAGTGTGGTACCTTTAAAGGCAACTCAAAAATGTTCCAGTTAACATAAACTGGAACCCTCAAATGACTAGTATTATCATTAGTAATAGCCAAATGGAAAGCTGACAAGTAACGATTTTACTTTTTAGAATAGATTTATGACTTGCAAGTCCTTTTTTTGTGTGTAGTTTTTGTTGGCTAGGAGGGAAGCAGGTCTGACTGAGAGTGACCTCTTATTCTAGCCTTTATGTCCTGCATTGTTTAAAAATAGTGCAAACCCTTGCTGCTTGCAGAAAATGTAGAATTTACTCTTGGATTAATATTCTGCTACCAGATGTATGAGGCTGGCTCTAGAGTGGCTTTTTCTCTTAAATACTGTCAAATATAGAGAAGCTGAAGATTGGAGAGAAGCCATTTATTTTGAACAGTTTATTTTCTGACAGTTTGTGTTTGTAAAGAAACCTGTTCATAATATTACGTAAGAGATCTGCATAGTTGCTAGCAGAAGCACCATAGGTTTCTTTTTTTTTTCTTTAAAAAAGTTCCATCTGAGCCTAATTCTTACATGATACTTTTTGACTTTGCTTTTGATTAGTTGATTTATGAGACTTTATTTATTGACATAATGGGAGAATTCTTTTGCTATCCTGAAATTGCACTCTGCCTGTGCTCTGGCCTGTTTCCTAGGTAACAAATGCATTGCATAGATTCCATAATGAGGCATGTGGTTGGCTAGTTACAGTGTACATTCTGTTGTTTGGTAAAGCTTAGTCTCAAATTCAAGTAAAGGTCAAGAATCCAAAAGTACTGAAGATGCACATTTTTGAATGTTACTTTGTTTTCAGTGTCAACAAAGGTTAATATACTTTTCTGGAGAAGGGCACATTATGTAGCAATATTCAAGTTTGTTGCAAGTCTTACACTTGAATAGTTGACTAGCTTTTTGACTTTTTCGTATTGGTCATACCAGTGGCTCTAGTGCCAAAGAAGATGTATTTCAGAAACACCTTATCACACTTACAACATAGAAAGCAAAGGGCTGTGGTCTAGGTCATCAGTAATTGGCCCTTTTGTACCGAAAGAAAAAAAATAACACATATGTTTCAAAAGATAAATTGTGTAACTTTATGTAAAATACTCATATAACTTTAAAAAATGTTAAGACTTAAAACATTTAATAAACTTTGTGAAAACATTAAAAGTCTTACCATAAAAATCATACATTTTACTCTAGCACTTTTCCTTCTGTCTGCCTGAACTTTGCCTAGCGCCAGGGAGTGGGTCTCAGAATAGCGTTCCCCATCACCTTCCTCTCCTCTTGAAACCTACAGTCTCTGTCACTCCAGGTCCAGGGCAAGATGTGTAGTGTGCAATTGCTAGTAATTATTATGTGTTCATTTAAAAAAAAAACTTGCATTGAATCAGAATTTCATTAATACCCATTGCAAATATCTTTTCATGGATTCCTGAAAGTGTTTCTTGTTTGCTAATCATCAAGGATTTTTGCTAGGTGAATATTTTAGTAATTATTTACAAGGAAAAATTTTATTACCTTTTTTCTGTTGAATTCTAGAGAATATCCAAACTTGCCTCCATTACTTTCCCTCGCTTGGATGGATTGTTTTTGGATTATTTACCCTTTTAAAGTTAATTTTAATTTCAGGACCAGGATATATTTTGGTTGGATTCGCTCTTGGTTTTCCTCAAAGGTAGTACTACACTAAACTTTTCTAATTGCAAATATATCCTTTCAGTTTTCCCTGGTAAATATTTACTATTTAAATTTTTTTTGAATCATTGCATTATTGAAGACATAACCACCACATATCAAATACTACACTTTTCTGTGCTGGCTGGGTAGCACAGTTGGTTAGAGGAGTGGTCCCCAGCCTTTTTGACACCAGGGACTGGTTTTGTGGAAGACAGTTTTTCTACAGATGGGTGGTGAGGGTGGGAGGGTGGGGACGAGGTGGTTTTATATAGCCTGCCACCAAATGCAGCATAATTGTCACTTGCCACTCACTGATAGGGTTTTGGTATGAGTCTGCAGACGGTTGATTTAGTATGGTCTCTGTGCAGTCAACCTTCTCAGCTAATGGTAATCTGTATTTGTAGACGCTCCCCAGTGCTAGCATCCCCACCTCTGCTCCGCCTCAGATCATCAGGCATTGGATTCTCATAAGGGGTGCGAAACCTAGAACCCTTGCATAAAGAATATGTAAATGAACAAGCATTATGTGTTCTAATAAAATTTTATTTACAGAACCAGATAGTGGGCTGGTTTTAGTTCACAATCCATAGTTTGCTG